GTGCCAAGGAAAATCGCGACCCATAGCTTGAAAAATCACTTTTTAAACTTTCAAATTTTCTCAAAAAACAGCTCAAAAATATGTTATTTTTGAGATAGATTATATTAAAATCTCGTTGGTTTGTTGTTTTTGGATTGTTTTGTGATGAAAATCGCTCAAAAATATGTTTTTTTTTTAGTTTTGTCGAAGCTCCTATGAGGGAACCCAATTTCGAGCAGTCAACCTGCCAAAAGAAGAAGAAAATATTACAACAGAAGAATCTCAAGAAATCCTAGGGGTTGGGGTGAGAGTATGAGAGAGACATCCTATTTATATTTTTCACTAAAAAGTCTCACGAAATCCACACCAATAGAAAATCCATTAAAATCGTCGGATTTTTGAATACCACGAGATTGTGATTCCATTGTTTAAAATCTTGATTGAATACCAACGAATTTGGACGGATTTTAAAACAATCCTTTAAAATCCTAATCGAATACCACATGACTTTTTTTCAATCCATTGAAATCCTAATCGAATACCAACAGATTTTTTTGTCCAAAAACAATCCATTAAAATCCTTTGAAATCTCAATCCAATACACCCCCCTAAGTCACCATTGTAACACAAATAAGGAAATATTTGATTTGAATCATATTTTTTAACTGAATTGAATTGGTTTAAATCAGTTTGTTTCAAAGAATAGAATTATTTTATTTATTTTGAATCAATTTTATTTTTGCTAAATTGGTTTGGAACAAGTTCATGTTTCAAAACAATTTTTTTTTTTAGGATACCAAAAAAAATTGTTGTATGAGAAGTCCACAACAATTCGAAAAAGCCACTTGCGAGAAATCTAAGGCATAGAACTGCATAACAATTGGGTAATCTAAAAAAAAAAAAAAAAAAGGGCTTGGCGGGCTGATCTTGGTGGGCTGGCGGGTTTGGCGGGGAGGGTTAGGCGGGCTAGTGGGTTGAACAACTCAGCCCACCCCGCCCTGTTTGACAAATGGGGCGGGCTCAGCCCATTTTGCCAGCCCTAGTGTACTTCCAGAAGTATACAGTGTAGTTTATAAGAATTTATAAATAAAAATTTGTAAATATAACCCTTGATATATATATATATATATATATATATTTGGCTTTTATGGTCATTTTATTTTTTTATTTTCTTTCTCTCAGCATTATTTTTTAAGTGTAAAGGGGAGAAAAGAAAAATAATTTGCAAGCATAAAATGATGAATCAAAATAAATATGAAAATTTTTATATTTATAATTTTTTTGTTTACGAACTTTTATAAACTCAATTATGCATTCTTGAAAATAGGCTCGGCTATTATGCATTCCTGAAAATATATAATATAATTTATAAGAATTTTTAAATAAATTTTTTATAAATATAACCTATTCCAAATAATATAATGATGGAAACATTATAAAAAGCCCACATGAGAGGCCTACTTGAATAAACCCAATTCCATTTCATATAAGAAGAATTGGCCGAGGGAAAACATGAACGCTTACTATAGATAAAAGATGTTATGGTTATCGATGGGTTCAAGTTACAGGGTTTGTAATCAGTTGCTTCATTTATGGATTTAATAAAGGAAAAAGCTACTTGTATATTGTTGTACAGTAATTCTCTTTTCTATGCATCTTTTGATCTGCATGTAACTTAATTTTTTATTTATAAGTGAGTGAGTCCTCTATGATTGTGTCTATGACTGAAAAAACTACTCCCCTATAACATAATATTAATAAAGCCTTTCAATAAAGGGAAAATAGTTTCTATTTGTCGGAAAAACTGTTCCCCTCTTGCACTAACAAATTGATGGGTCTCTTCAAATTTTTTTTAATAAATAGTGGGTTCCACAATGTAATGTATTTGTAGGAGATAGATTTATCCTCTTGCAACAAGAGAAATCTAATCCCTCCTAATGGAGGAAAATAAAAGTGTAATGTTATAGGTTTCAAATTTTGTTCCTGCATACATATTCAAGAGGAGAGAAAGAGTGGAATGATGAAAGAGAAAAAAAAAACATGTTGACCTTACCTTTTGAATATGTTAGCAAGAAATTTTTTTTGGGTCATGCAATATGCTTCTGTTTTCCGTTAATAAAATATAAAACCCGAATTGATCAAATAATCAATATATTGATGAAGAAAGCTCAACAATTAAGGTTGAATTTTGTTTTAGTTTTAAAATAATATTTTCATAATTAATCCTTTTATGGTTTTTGTTGGAAATTATTATTTTCATTTTAAAAAACATAAAATGAGTTTGTTTGAGATTTACAAAAGTACATCGGATTGTTAAAAAAGAAAAACAAGTAACTAGCACAAAATGATTTAATTAATAGTTTTTATTTTATAGGTGAAAATATACTTTTGTCCCTAACTATACTTCACTTTTATTTCAAAGATTTCTAAAATCCATCAAATTCATTTTGACTATTAACACCGCCAAAAATATTAACAAAATCATCCATCTATTTTATTTTTATTTTTAAATAGTGATTGGGATGAATTTAATTATTTTAAACAAAGTTCAGAACGAAAACACAAATAAACTATAAGGGTTGACTTAAGTGATAATATAAATTTTAGGATAAACTGTCAAAATTGCAGGGATTTGAATCTTGGACGCTGCATTTAAAATCAAATTTCACGAAAATATATTTTTATAGGATAAGAATGAAATCAAGAGTAAAATTGAAGCGAAAAAAAAAATTCATCAATAATGAATAAATTGTTTTCTTTTTTGAACATCTTCATTTGTATGAAATTTTACTTTCATTTAAATTGGCTATTGAAAAATGAATTAAATTGATCATCACGAATAGTTAGGAATTTTTAAATTTTTATTTTAAGGGGGAAATGGTAAGAGTGCTCTCATTCCAACTTTTACATCAAACCAAACTAAGTTTTTATTAAGCCATAAGTGCCCGTCAAATATTGGTACGATACATTTAGGAAATTAACAAGGAGATATCATGGAGTTATAGTTAAGCCATAGAAATGACTTTGTTGTTTGAGTTTTAGAAAATATTTTATATACAAATGATAATTCATTTTAATGCACAAATATGTGCGTTAACAAATATTACAGGTAATTTACAAAAAAAGAAAACTATAGGTAAATTACATATTATCTTGCTTCGATTTAACTCATTTTCATTTCTCAGAGATAAATTTATATTGTAACACATAATTCCTTAAATTACGTTTTATATATATTTGTCAACTTCAACCGAAGCAGTTTCCACCCAATTATGAAATTTGTTGTTTTGTTTAACACTTTTATATTTTTTATGTGTAAAATGCCATATGGGGCTCTAAATGAGGTCACCATTAAGGACCGTTTCTCTACGCTATTGACGAGTTCTTAGACGAATTAGGAGGCTCTATAACTCTATTGTGTTCACTAAGTTGGATTTGCTGGCTGGCGATCATTAAATAACATATAAAATTACACTTTTTACCATAATTCAAGCGGCTGTGTGTTAAAAAAATACAGTTTATATGTAAAAATTAAGGCAATAGATTATTTTATCTATTTCTTTTTCTATCTCTTTTTGCCTATCATTCTTCAATATTATTATATCAGAATCTCAAATACCTTTATGATTTATCTATCCTATTGAGATTTTAATATAATGGTGTTGAAGAGTGGTAGGCAGAAAAAAAATAAATAGATTACTCCACCTACTTCTTTTTCTGCCTATATATGCCTATCACTCTTCAGTATCATTAGATCAGAATCTTAACTATCTTTTTATCAATTCTCTTTTTTATTGAGATTCTAATCTAATGATATTGGAGATCTAGGCAAAGGTAGGCAAAAAAAAAAAAAAGTAAATAGAATAACTTATCCCAAAATTAAGTGATGAGTTATTCTACCTTTTTTTTTTCCATACATATCTTAGTTACCACTCTTAAACATAGATAAGATTTTTAACTAACTAACATTTATTATTTATATCTTCTCTTAGGGCCTGTTTGGTGTAACGTATAAAACCTGATAGTATAAACTTATACTATACGTTATGACATTTTCAGTTGTTTGGTGTGATCATCATATAGTATAAGCTTATACAGCATGACCCCCTAATACATCAAAACGATGTATAACTTAATCTAGCCTAAGGGGAGGGATTAAGCCTGATAAGAGATTGATGTATTAATATTGCTTACAAGTAATATATCGTTTCAATATTAATATATTAAAATAATTTTTTTAATATATTAATTTTAAAATATTGAAAGATATTATCGTATACAATACCGTACAAAACACTGAATAACATTAAAATTTAATCACGTCTTATACAATCAGGTCTTATACTATCAGGTCTTATGCTATCAGGCCTTATCCAATACTATGCACCAAACATGCCCTTAATATTCTGATATAATAGCGTTGAAGAGTGATGGATAGATATAAAAAAAAGATAACTAGAATAACATATCCCAGAAATTAAACATAGGCTGAACTATAAGAATATGATGTATAATTTGTTCAAAAATTAAAAAAAATTGATAAAATAACTTGATGAAAGACAACATTTTAAACAAGATGTAGCATTAAATAAAGACCAAATTACTTAATAGATCCTTAAATTTTTATTTTTTTATATTTTTTAATAATTTTTTTTTTAAAATTATACATTTATACATTTATTTTTTGGTTTGATATTTGTCCTTTTTTTTTTTGATAACATGATATTTGTCCTTTAAAAAGATATAGAGTTGTTCATTTTAAATAAGAGAAAGATACAAATAATAAAAATCATAAGAAAAGAAAAAATAATTTTTTAATTTAAATTTTAAATAAAAAATATTAGTTTAAATCAGTTTACTCATTTAAATTGAGACAACTCTGTATAATTTTTTCCTTATTTTTTTCAAAAACTGACCCGAATTCCGACCCCAACATTAGCATAGCCACCCTTTAGTGAAAAAACCGAAAAGCCTCTGCAACTTATCCTTAAACCCCAAAACCCTGTGAACAACAATGGACCCTAATTGAGCAAACCTTAACATCGCACATGGTGTGCATCCCTCTTCATCTCCATGGCCCTCGCTACCTTAAAATTCGTTTGCAAACCCAATCTTCATCTTCGCCCCGCTCCCTTTCAATTTGCGCGCAAGGTATCTCTACTTTTTTAACCGCATTCCCCATTATCATATCATTATCCTGTTTCTTCTTTCTCTCTTTAACCTTTTTTTTTTTTTTTTTCCTAGGTTGTTCCAAGATCTGTCCCTACGGTTGAGGCAGAGGAATGTAGCGGCTCAAATCGTGAACAAGGCAAGTGAACTAGTCAAATTCTTAATTGGAGCTCTCAGCTCTGTATTGTTTTATTGACGTTGTTGATTCTGAAACCCTTCTTCTCTTGGTTTATTTAATTTATGAAGAAAAAAAGAGTGACCCGTCATGGAAGAAATTGAATTCCAAGGAGCTTGGACTTAGAAATTCAATGATAGCAAATCCAACGAAAAAGGTTCTCAACATGCTGAAGAAAAAGGGTGCGTGCTTCTCTCACTCCTCATATATCTTTCTCAAGCTGGGTTTTGTTTTGGAAGAAAGAAAGAGCATTTCCTTGACTTTGTGTTTCCCTTTCCCATCATAGAATAAAACATGCTGATTTATGGGCATTAAATTTTCACTTCTCTTTCATAGTCATTGCGGTACTACACCCTTTCTTGGACAGTTGGACTAAAAACCGTTTGTAAACTTAATCCTGAGTGACTTTCCAATGCACCGGAATTGAATTCATTAATCTGCAATCCTCTGATATTGTAATAATGACATAATGTACCTTAAAAAGAAAAAAAATGTATTTCATCATTGCGGATATTAGAATTAGTTCCATACTACTGTGAATATCTTGCCTTCCTCTGAAATTTAGATTAAAAAGGTTCTCAATTTTTCGTTTATGAATTACTGTATCACATGATTTTCAGTAAACAAAAGAATCGGCCTATAATTGTTCTTCCCGAACATCTACACAGCCCCTGCACATAATTTGTGATATTCTTGGAAAACATTTGATTGTGACTATGCAAATCCTATTTTCATTAAATATGTCCAATGAAGGTGAATTTTGTAACAAGAATTACGCATAGTTGATAACCCTTTTTCTTCTCCTTGTAGGGTATGATGTATACCTGGTAGGAGGTTGTGTACGAGATCTTATACTAAAGCAAACACCAAAAGACTTTGATGTTATAACTTCAGCAGATCTTAAAGAGGTTACCTTGATTTCCTATTTCTATTTTATTTTCAAAGTATTGATGTATACTGGACAACTCTATAGAATGTAGATCAAGAGTTAAGTTATAAGCATTTAGAAGGACAACAAATGTTTTTATGCTGGCGTCTGGTGTTTGTAACATGTGAACGTTGCATAAAAGCTAATTTATACAATCTCTTTTGAAAATTTAAAATTCTAATTGGGCTTGTTGTCCTCAGATCTTAACTTTGCATGGTGAATCTTGACTCATTTTGTAGGTGATGAGAACATTTTCGTGGTGTGAGATAGTTGGTAAAAGGTTCCCAATATGTCATGTTCATATGGATGATACCATTGTTGAGGTTGGTATATTTCAGTTTTGCTTAAAATACCTTTGGTTTGAACTATATTTTAGTGGGGTGATTGCTTGAATTTTTACCTATTAAGGACCTTCTTCCTTTTATCTTTGCTTTTCATGATAATTTTATTCTCCCTTCCAATTAGGTTTCAAGTTTTAATACTGCTAGATGCAAGTCGGGTATGCTCTCTGCTCATGATATTGAGGCACCTAATGGCTGTGATAAGGAGGACTATCTTCGTTGGAGGAATTGTTTGAAACGAGACTTTACAATTAACGGGTTGTGCACCAATTCTTGCAATTTTAAAAATAGAAAGTCTATTCCTTTTTTCCTTGCATTTGGCTGCAAATGTTTTCTCTATGACATCTCCACTTTATATTGTGCTGCTCTTTATGCTGTTAACCAAGTTCGTGCTCTTCCAGGTTGATGTTCGATCCGTATGCAAGACTTGTATATGATTACATGGGAGGAATTGAAGATATTAGAAAAGCTAAAGTGTGCATTTATCTCTTTGAAGTTGTGGTTTCTTATATAATTATTTTGCTTTTTATAATCAGCAATTTGAAATAATGTAACTTAATTTTCTGTGAATAGGTGAGAACTGTGGTTCCTGCAGCTATTTCTTTTCAGGAGGATTGTGGTGAGTTTTTGTTGAGAGATTCACAATGTAAAAAAAAAAACTACATTCCCATTTCCCATATTTTGGGCCGTTCCTTGGACATACTTACTGTTCTGAATAGTGAATACCTAGGTCTGTCTGACTCCATTTGTTTTCTGCAGCTCGCATTTTACGTGCAATTAGAATTGCTGCTCGCTTGGGGTTTAGTTTTTCAAGGGAAACAGCTCATTCTGTTAAAAATCTTTCATATTCAGTATTAAGACTTGATAGGGTATTTAAAGTGTTCTTCCTCTCTGCTTTATTATACACATATATGAGAATATCCTGGCTTAGTTTCCCTCTTTAACTGTTTTAGGGTAGGCTCCTAATGGAAATAAATTATATGCTAGCTTATGGTTCTGGTGAAGCTTCTTTGAGGCTATTATGGAAATTTGGACTTCTAGATATACTTCTCCCCTTTCAGGTAGATGATGAATCTGCATTTTAATTTCTAAAATTCAGTCATGGAATGTTAGCTTAATTCATATTTAACATTACAGGCTGTTTATTTTGTTCACCATGGATTTCGGAGACGTGACAAAAGAACCAATATGCTTTTGGTAATCCCATTCCTCTTATGAAATTTTGACTTTAAAACTTGCTGGATTCTAGACTGACTTGCTGGCATTAGTCTAGTTGGAAAAGCATAAAAAGACAACTTTCCTAAACTAACTCAGAACTTGTTGGTTATCCTATCTATCAACTTGTGCATTAGAAACATGTATACGTTTGGAAACTAAAACAATTCCTTATTCCCTGCTTTTACATCAATCCGTGCAAATAACTATTAGAATTTGGCTCCTCCAAAGTCAGAAGTACACTTTATAGGAAAAAGTGCAGAGTTATAACTATTGATTGGAAAATCAATGGTTAAGAATTTAAGATGGTGATGAAACACATGCATATGTATTACAAACCTTGAATCTGTCAAAATCTACTCTCTCGATTTTCCAATCAATGGTTATAACTTCACATTTTTCCCTCTAAAGCGCACCCCTTATTTTATAGGAGCCAAATCCTAACTATTAAAGAAAACGTGCAACATGCTGAGTTCCTTGCTTCCACTCCCTGATGACATGCAAATTTTTACGTATATCAAACTCATCGAGATTACCTAGACTAATTATTAGCGTAATTAGGTGCTTATTCTTATTTGAATATTTTTAGGGTCTGAACTGTTGAAGATATTCCTCCTATTAAAAAAAGAGACAAGAGTTTCAAGTTCTGAACAGCTAAAGGAAGTGGCTGGGTTAGGGATTTCCCCCCAACTTAAATATGGCTTATTATTAGATTATCTCAGGTTATTTGAGTATTCATTCAAACTGCATAAAATTCTAGCACCACATTGGCACATTTTTTATTGTATCTTTTGGAATTTCATCTGCAGTCTTTCTTCTCCAATTTGGATAAACTTTTGGCACCAAACCGTCCATGTCATAGCAGCTTATGGTAAGATCTATGCATCAACAATCCCTATTTCTTGTTTTACTTTGTTAGCTATATGTGATAAACATAGCATGTAATGCTAGAAAAACAAGTGAATAACAGCATCAGATCCGCAAATAAGTTTTGTTTAAAGATCATGTCCTAGGATGGCATATGCTTGAAGACACGAATTAAACAGTGAAGTCCTTTCTCCCTTCCTATTTCTAGGGAAATGTCTCACAAAGAACTTTAATTTCCTGATTCTTTTGTACTGAATTCAAGCCCTTAATCTGCTTCAATTTTCTTGTTTTATGGAGCAGTTCAAGTTTTGCAATTATCTTGTTGCTATTGATTTGTTAAACATTTCCGGTGCCTTATGGCTGCAATGGAATCCTCTATAATATCTTTGCCTAATAGTTTCTTTTGGTGTGCATCAATGGGGTCTAGAACTTGGAGAGGGTTCAGGGGTGATGGAAACAAGGGTTTTCTTTCCACCCAAAAAGAGGTCCTAAGGGTGTCAAAATGGGTCGACACGACACGAATACACGTAACACGAACTTCTATTTGTGTCGTAATCTTCAACACGAACACGACACAAACTTTTTGCAAGTTGAAATGACGCGAATGACACGCAAACTATGAGTCAAAACGATAATTGACCAAAAAAAATTAAAAATGTGGGTCGAAATTAAAAAAAATATATATATAATAATAAAAAAATATGGGCCAAATTCGTGTTGACACGACATGCGACACGACACGAATTTTTTGCGTGTCATGTTTTCCCATCATGAACATGATACGAATTTTCGTGTCGTGTCGCGAGTCGACTTGTGTGTAATAAGCTGTTTTAACACCCCTAAGAGGTCCTACCCAAGATACATATCTTGGGCAAAATATCATTTATTGTCAAATGATACTTTGGGCCTTTGATTGGATTCAGTTACATATCTAAATTGTTTGGTTGCTTTCAAAATTTGAGTCTTTTAATGTATTGAGTTATCTTTTTTCATTTCTCTTCACTGTCAAGAATAGGTTCTGAAAACTATCAGAGTCCAAGTGGAATGTGATATAAAATATCAGATATACATGCTTTGAAATATTTACAAGGTGTTTACATGTTGGGTCATCAAAGCAAGACTTATATGGATTCTATGCTTTCAGGGTTCTTATCCTTGCATTACATAAAACCCTGAGTGATCAACCAAGGGATCCCTTGGTGGTTGCTGCGTTTAGCCTTGCAGTCCATAATGGTGGTAATTTGTTGGAAGCAGTAGACATAGCTAGGAGGATCAACAGATCACATGATGCCAAATTTCCTGAATTATTAGATCCTTCTGGTCTGGATGCTGAGGATTTGGCAGATGAGATTCTGGATCTGTCAGAGTCTGTTAAAGGGTCACTACTGCAGATGACAACGAGGCATTTGGTATCTCGGGCTATGGCTGACTATCCCCAAGCCCCTCATTCAGATCTGGTGAGCATATATTTTTTCTTTATTTTATACGTACTTCTGGACTGTGTTATCCAGCAAATGGACTTCACTAGGATATTATAGAACCTAATTATTCACCATCCTTTAAAAAAAGAAACTTAATAGTTTTTTCCCACAAATAGCTTACACACATGCAGATGTAAGCATGCAAAGAGAGGGCAAAAATGTTGATCCTTGTGGCACTACTGACATTAGTGCAGCAGTTGAATTTCGTAGCGAGAAATTGAATTATAGTTACGTGGAAAAATTAAACTACATTTTTTTTTTGTAATTTTTGGATTCCTTGTTTATAATATTTGAAGTATGATAATTTGATTATTGTTTAGGATTTAGGAATATGGGGCTTTCTCTGTTGATGTTTTGGTTTGATGAATCCTGATTAACATCATTGGTCTGCAATCTGTACTGTTAATCTTTGTCCATTTGACAGGTGCTCATCCCATTAGGAATGTACATAAAATCTCTCAGCATTTTTGACTGCGTGAAAGTAAATGCTGGTAAGAAATTTTTGTCAAAGCATGGCAGAACAATTGATTATGAGTCCTTAGCTCGTGGTGACGTGCAAGAAATTCGGCATGTGTTTGCAAGGATTGTATTTGATACCGTATATCCACTACACCTAATTCGAGATCAGTTGTAAAAGAGCACTGGAATTTCAGGAGGCTAGTTTGAAGTTTTATTATAAATTAGAAAATTGATGCTGGAGTAGGCATTCTATCGAGGGGAATAGTTGGATGAATATTGGTATAGAAGTGGTGAAAATCTAATTCCTGCATTTGAGTGGTTGTTGCAGCAATTATCATCAATTTTGTCATGAGCCACCGGTGACAGCTTTGTGGTGGGACTTACCCTCCCATGTAATGTACCTATCTCCCAGGCTACATAGCCGGCGGATGAAAGAGTAAAAGGAGTTATGCACAATCCCCCCTCTCTTTTTTTTCTCTCTCTCTGGTTCTAAAGTTTTTTTATTTTGGTTAAAGAATAATTCTTTCATCAATATTATACTTACAGATTGTGCTCATCGTGTTATGTAAACGTTATTCCGCTAAATTTAACAGTAATGTGGTATATTTAGCAGTTTCAGATGGCCAAGTCATTGAATTGCCAAAAAGTCTGTAATATTGATTTGTTTAATTCACAAATGAAAAACAAGTGGAGTCCTTTTTTTCTTCTTATGGCATTGGCATGTCATTGAATATATATTATTAGTTATATGTATTATTATTATCTTTTGTTACCTATACATTAATGATTATTAGCATTAAAAATATTAAATTTTGTAATAACAGAGAAAACAAAAGTGATCCATATAATTTACATGGCACATACTCAAGATGCACGGTAAAATGATTGTCTTAGACCCTGTATTTAAGAATCTTTCCTCAGCATAAAGGCTTCGTAGTCTCCACCTCAAGACCAGTGTGGAAGTTTTTGTAATGTACTAAAAAGATCATATGGTCAAATTAGAAAAAGCCTAATCAGTTGTTACATTCCATTGGTCCAGTGCACAACTTGTTCTTTACACGGGAACAAGAATTATGTATATATAGTATTTCTTGTTTTGAAAATAGTGGGAAGGCACTAAGTCAATCAAAACTCAGAAGGCAAATCTAACTTGTATCTCTCCAATTGACAACCAAACTAGCATAATCAAATACCAATTGAAAAAAATAAAAATAAAAATAACAAAGGACAAAATCTGAACATTCATCTTAGTATGAAGTGTGGTGGTGCTCTGGTAAAGCAAGCATAACATGCTTTAGCACCATAGCATTATTTCTGTGTCAAAAAAATCTCTTTGGCATAGTCAAGCATGTGTGTTTGTGTGGTTTCTACTTCGCAGGTGCAGGAGCACTTCCACCGCTAGTAGGCCTGAAAGAGAAAACAGCAAAATGATATTTAACATGAAAGAGATTCATATAACCGAAACTCGGGACATGTAACGTGACATAGTAAAGCATTGAGCAACTGTATGTTGAAACCATGAGATAAATAGGAGGAGCTACTCACAGTCCTACAAATACTTTAAATGAATCATAGAGTCCCCACTGAGCTCCAGTTAGAGTTCCAATCATAACTATACGAAGAGGAAGGCCACGAGTGAAAAGACCCATTAAACCAATCTTCTTCACAGCCTGCAAATCCAATAGTTAAAAAGACCAAAGTAAGCATTGCACAGGGTGTGGTGGGCAGGTGAAATTAAATATGTATTATGAGTAGTACATGATTTATGTACTGTACAGAGAAAAAAATTATATACTATCTTAAGTACATAGTTAATTTCTGAAATACATTATGTATTACCCATAGTACGTAATATAATTTGACCAATCTTTAAGTCAAGTCACATGACAAATTATTTTGTCTATATATATATATATATATATATATATATATATATATGAGGTAGGATTCTTTGACATCAGTATTAAATTTGAAATTTGACACCTCATCTGAATGCCATTAGATCAAAAAAGATCAACGACTCTGATTTATAAGCATGTAACATCATTGATCTTTTTTGATCTAACGACTATCATATGAGGTGTCAAATTTTAAATTTAACACTGGTGTCAAAAAATCCGACCTCTCTTTATTATACACACACTTATGTATGTATGTATGTATGCATCCACTCACATCACCAACAGTGGCTCCCTTGGAGTTGTTGAGAAAAGAAACGAGGTTGTCAGCAGGGTGTGAGACAATTGCACACAGTACACCAGCCACATATCCTGCCGCAAAACTCACTCCAAGCTGCTCTTTTTTGCTGCACTTTTCTTTAGGGATTGGTATGACGTTTTTGTATATCATCTCCACAATAGTCTCAAAGGAAGCAAATTTCATCATTGTGTCTGACAAGGAGCCAAAAGTGTAAGAAGAAAAAAAGAAAGAAAGATATAGGCTATTGGCAGAATGCACCTTAAAATTGCATAATGCAAGCATGGATTTTTGCATCTCACAGAAGTAAAATGTTTATGTAGATACAAAAATACAAACACTACTAAGAAAAATACAAATTAGTAGTTATTTTCTTGCTTATCTATCAAACAAAGGTATTCAATATAAATACCTGTACCTTCAAAGACAAGAATTCTTGGAGAGAATACCAACTTAGACTTTGTATAATGCTAACAAGGTTATAGACTAATCATGTGATAACACCAACTATAAAATTGGACATAAATATGGAATTATTCAAACTTACATGGAATCTGACGGCCCCAAAGAGGAACTATTCCTTTATACAACCTGCACATCAAATCAAATTCTGACCAAAATTGGAGATTTTAAAAATGTAAAACTACAGATACATGATCAGCAGAAACATAATAATAGAGGAAATTAGGACAAAAAACCATACCCAGCAGCACCCTCAGCCTTGACAAACTTAGGTAACCCATCTGATAAACCTCTAGCAAAGCCAGGCTGAGTTTGTACACGAACTTTGACAGCCTCCATTGGGCAAAGGGCAATATCAGCAATAACTTCTGCTGAAGCAGAACCAGCTAGATATATGAAAGTTTTGTACTTGGCTGCATTCTCTGGTCCTGCAAGATCTGAGTAATACTTCTTGAAGAACTCATAAAATCCAAACTTGCACGCTCCCTGAGCACTGTAACCAAACAAAGTTGGTACCCAGCCCCTGAAGAAACCTTTAACACCCTGCTCCTTCAGTAAAACTCCAAATCCTGATGTAATGTTCTTATACTTTACAGGGTCAATCTGAAAATAACAACAAATATTAACTTTTTTTATACGCGTTTTGCTCACACTTCCCAGTTATGCATATGAAATGATTTCAAAAAGAAATAAACAGATTGAATATTATGATTACAGTAACAAAATATAATAATTTTTAAGTAAAAATTTGAAGAGAGTCATACTCATACCATAAAGTCTGGCACAACACAATCACATTATTCGTGTAATTGATAAAGTACGACACCGGAATTGAGATTCTCACATTACTTTGAAAATGCAGAAACTTTTGAATCAAAATTTAAGCAACAACATAATGCAGAAAAGTTTAGACTTAAAAAGAGTTCATTTTGAAACAGTATTCATAGCAAAATGCATGTGATATTGTAGACAGATAGTTGAATAAAAGAGAAAGGAAAAAAGGAATGAAAAAAAAGAAGGGAAAAGAACCTGCATATTGCACTTGACAAGATCAAGAGGAGTAACGGCCATGTGGGTAAGACCACAACTGAAGATGCCACCGGCACTGCATGCAGCGTAGTAAGCAGGAGAAAACATGCGAATACTCTCTTTGGGTGCAGGGATCATAGGACTCCTAGTGCTACCCTGTGATGGTGATGATGATGATGATGATGATAAATGTGATATAATGGAGGAGGTGGTGGTAGATGGTGGCAACCCATGATTGGTATTCCTCAAAGCATCCAAATGGGAGGTTGTTTTTGATGAGTATAGGAATCCAGGGACAAGAGAATGACGAGATTGGTCAGAAGGAGCCATTGAGAATTCACAAGAAATGATGTGTGAGTGTGTGAGTGTGTGTTTGTGTCTAACTAAGGAACAAAAGTAGAAAATAGAATGTTATTGATGTAGTGGAAGAGAAAATGGGCGACAAAATGGGGAGTGTTTGTGGTTAAGAAATGAGAGTGTGTGTGTGAAGGGAGAGAGATACAGAAAGAAGAAAATGAACAAGAGAAGAAGAGGGTATGTATGTGATCATGTCCCTAATTTTCGCGCTCTTCTTCTTGTTACCCTTTGACTCTCTCTAACGCCCTCCAATTTTCTGGTTAATGCACTCTTGAGTCTTGACTATTATTCTATTCCTTTTAATTTACTTTTAAATATTTTCCACGTAACAATGACTTATTGTTTTTCAAAATGTCAATTCAGTTACACCAATGCCTAGCTAAATAAATTATATTATACGTAGCATTTAGCAATAACATATGGAAGAGTCCAACCACATCTATATATATTCAAAATTACGAAAATGCATTCATGGAATTTTTACATTTGTTTAGATTCATAGACTTCTATTTTTTTTAGTTTATTGTAAAATACCAATAGAATAAGGAGTTCTTGTTTATAGCCAAAAGTAAAAAAAAAAAAAACTCTCTCTTTATTTTCTTTAGTACATAACATTAAGAGGAGGTGTAATATGCATAAAAGAGGTAAATATGTGATATAATAATGAAATATTTGACTTTACCACGGTCTTAAAGATTGATTTCAGTGCCTTGGATTTAAGTTTGTTGACATTTCTATATTTTCTTTCTAGTAGTATATATAGATGACGATGTCTTAATAAAATAGATAAATTCATGTATAGAAGACGATTTCTTTTTCATTTTATACTTATAATTATGCACAAGAAATGTACCTATCTTAAATTTTAAATTTTTCTTTAAATTTTATGAGCAAAACCTAAAAAGAGGTGTGATGTTGGAGTCTCGTACCCAAATTTTTTTTTTTTTTTTTAAATTACAGGAAAGCAAGAAACAAAACAAAAAAACAAAAGGATCTAAATATAAAGTCTAGACCAATGGACTTTTTTTTTTTTTAGAAATTACTGATCTAGACTTTGTGCTTAGATCCTTTTGTCTCGTACCCGAACCTAAGCATCTTATAGCAGCAGCCCTTGAGCCCAGATTTCATGGTATCACGAAAATGATCTAAACCTAGCTTGGTGATGGTGATCAATTCAAAGCTTAATTTCCATATCATATGGGCAATTCGACCACAATAAATAAGCTGTGATATAGACAAGGTTAATTCATTCCCACTTTCATTCACGACACACATCTAGCATGTTTCTTTGCTTGAGGTTATACACCATGAGCAACATAATAGAGTGGGATTGAATAATTGGTATTTGTTATTTAAATTTTAAATCTCTCATTTTCTATCCCTTGGAGTTTTTTTAGTTTGATTTGTACGTTTGAAAATACGCATTAAAAATTAGTAATTAATTATAAGAAAAAGTGTTTGTGATTTCAAATGACATAAAATTATGTTATTTTAAGAGAGAGATAGACACAAAATATATTTTTTATTTAAAATTTAAATTAAAAAAAATCATCAACTTTCTCTCTCCTATGATTTTCATTTTTTGTATCTATCTCTCTTCTAAAATGACATAACTTATATCATTTAAAATGACAAACATCAAACCCTTAATTATAAATCCTTAAAAAAAATTCAATCATTGTGAATTTGTATTTGATTAATATTTGTTTAAAAAAAAATTAAATTTTTTATCCGATAAATTTCTTATCAGTTAAAAAACAAGATAACCAAAATTAACCCCGTAAGTTACAGCACACGTGTCCAGCGACAACGGGCTGAATGATCCTCTTGATTCAATATTTTAAAAATTAGTCTGAAATAATGATATTTTAAATATAATATTAGTTTGATGCTGTCACGTATCGCAAATTGATAAGGTTAAAAATTTATTTTAAAAAAATTAAGTAGACTAATCGGATGCAGATTTATTACATTAAATTGATATTAAACAAGATTATTTGAAAAAATAAATAAAAATTGAATCGAAAAGATCATTCACCAAAAAAAAAAAGTTTGTGTGTTTCTAAATTTGGAAGGTCGGTGTTCATATTTGACTATTTGAGCATCATCGTTACCAAGATCAGTGCCACGTAATTTTAGGATAGATTCTTACATTCTAAGAGCAATGTGCACCACTCGTTCATTCCCATCTCGGATCATCTAAAATCCTATGCTAAGTACACTTTCTTTGTGACATGGTTTTACTTTGCAACTAAGCACAACCTAGATGATGCCCATCTGACTAACAGTTCCCACTTGTTGGGCCAAGTATTGAACACTTAGCCGTTCATAAACCCAACCCCTATCTCTTATTCGTCTCTATCTGTGCTTACCCCTACCTTAGCTTCAATGGCCTCTGTTTCAGCCACTACTCTTAGTTTTGAACCCTGTTTCAAGTTGTCTAGAAGGACTAGCCAGGTTCAATATCCACCTCTCTTAATGCATGCTTACATACCCTTCTTATTTATTAGTCTCTATACTTCAATAGGTTCGTGTGTTTTGGATAATGATGCGGTTTTGGTCCTAGTGAATGCATGCAATGACTTAATTTAAGTTCCATCACCGAAATATACTCATCAAATTTTCCCTATTATAATTGTTTTGCATTTCGTGCATAACACACGAACATGGTGAAGCGTACTAGAGAGAATCTATGTACACTTGCGCATGGTTAACTGAATTTTATTCATGTTAGTAGGCTTGATAGTAAAAGTTGTCATGGAGTGTATGTGTTTTTAACCTACGGTTGTTGGGAAGGAAACTTTTTAGATTAGAAACAAGAATGATACAATATAATGGAGTATATATTAAATAAAAGAAGCATCTTAAGTAAGAAGCTTATTTCCCTTTTAACTATATGTCTCGAGTTGAAATCCTGAGAGAATAGTCTTGAAAGAGCTTATTCTGGTTAAGGATCCGAGCATGCTCGAACCGGATTAGTCCGTTATTCAATGGGTATACAATGTCTTAAACCACTTTATTGAGCTGATCCCTACTTTATATGAGGTAACTAAATATTGAAAAACTTGATTTGGGTTCTTAAAACATGCAGGCTTTTTGCAGAACTTCAAGTTTGGGAGCAGTTTCTGTGGGATGGATTAGGGAGAGTTTTCCTTCTTTGAGATCTTCCCGTTTCCGCATTTATGCAGTATGTGTGATTCCCTTCTATTTCTATATACTTTTTCCCCCTCAAAACTTGCAAGAAACTAAAAGAACTTTGAATTTTGTGAATGATACAGGCACCTGAGACAGTGCAGAAAGTCTGTGAGATTGTGAGGAAACAACTTGCTCTGCCTCCTGATTCTGAGCTTACCCCAGAAACCAAGTTTTCAGCACTTGGTGCTGATTCGCTTGACACGGTAAGATTCAAATTATGATCGAGAATTATTAATTGAAGTATGATATTGTAACAACCAGTTAGGTTGATTATTACTACCATTCAATTTCACCGTTACATTGATTATGTTGATCTAACGGTTATATTTATTTCTATCTTTGTATGATTATGATTTTCCATATTATGCTTTCGTATTAAATATTAGGAATCATAACCATACAAAGGTGAAAATAAATATAAAGTTTTAAATATGAGAAATCATAATCATACAAAGATGAAAATAAATATAACCGTTGGATCAACATAATCGATCTAACGGTGAAATTAATTGGTAATAACATTTGTAGTAACCCTAATTGGTTGTTACAAGATCTTTTCCCTTATTAATTAATTTTTAATTTAAATGGTCCATTTACTTAATTAGATTAACTGTAACAATACTACTCATAAATTTGTGTTGCTTATGCTAGAACAAACATCTTGTTTAGTTGATCAACTATGAATCATTTAGTGATACCATTGTGGCAGGTGGAAATAGTGATGACTTTAGAGGAAGAGTTTGGCATTGGCGTTGAGGAGGAGAGTTCTGAAAACATCACAACCGTTCAAGAAGCAGCTGATTTAATAGATAAACTGATTCAAAAGAAAGGTGGAGCTGATTAGAAGGTGAACATAGTGGAAGCTCAAGGGAAAATGCATCAAGTGAGAGCACAACTGTAACTGAATGAGGTTAATCATTGAGCCAATTTACTTGGCCTTTTTTGTGTGCTTTATACATATTCTTTAGGAAGCATATTGATTCTTTTTTTCCTCATCGTGACTTTACCTTGCTAAAACGCTTTTTGTTTTTGTTTTTGGTCTCAACATAAGCATCTCATTTGCTTTTGGATGGAAAAATCTTAGGTAATGTTTGCACTACTATTGCTCTTCATACGTGCTTTCCACTTATTATCATAATCAAGTGCTTAAATTCTTCCTGATCAAAAAAGTTTAACGTAGAAGGATTTAGTTTGTTTCTCATAGATGATTCTGTAACTACTTAGCTCAATTTTGTATTATTCACTTTTGTATGATTATAATTTTTTCACATGACTATGTTATGTTAAATAATACATTAGAGAGGATTTACTGCCCGTATTCATTTAAAGTTGGAAATAAGCTAGATTATAATAGAATATTTTAAGCCTAACCTATTAATATAATAAAAGATAAATTATAAGTCTAATCTAGTATATTTTTTAGAAATATATAATCTGGTTTGACATATTTCGAACTCGTTATAATTTCAATAGTAATTAGATAAATATGAATTATTTAAGTAGTGGTGGAGCTAGGATTTAATTTTAGACGGGGCTAAAAAATTTGACATATCAAATTATAAAAAAAAATTCATAATTACACAAATCTATTAGGAAAAAATTTTACTTAAAATTTTCAAAGTAATAGGATCGATGTTATTTTAACAAATAATAGTTATTTATTTAAAATTTAGAATATAATATAAAATATAATTAGTAAAGAAAGTGCAAATTATATATACATATATGAAATTTTCATGTGATTGTTATGCACATCTTCATGTGATCTTTGATAACATTATTTCATGTGATGTTAATGAAAGCTTATGTCATGTGATGTTAATGAAAATTGATTTCATGTGATCTTTGTGAATAATTTTTTTTAATTTTTATATTTTAATTAGATTTGGGCCTACAAACTTTAGTTTGTATCTTGGTAGGCCTTACAAGTCGTATTCGGTTTTTTTAGTTTTTTATAATATGACAGGCTATAAATCAAGTATTTAATAGGCTAATAGGTCAGTATAGGATCCAAATATTTTACATTGGCTTAGGCTATCAAAGTCAAAGTTTGGCTTAACTTGGCCCATTTATACCCTTAGTTGTGATCTGTGAAGAACATTAACATAGAGGGACAACAAACTTCACAATTAAAAAGAAACATGGAATAATTAGCGACAAATGTCTAAAATCATTTAAATAACATTGGATCCACATAAATCATTTAATTAGTGTTTAGATATTTTAAAAAATTTAAAAATACAAAAAAAGAAGAAGTTGTTAATGGATATGTATAAGAAATTTTCATACTCCATATATATACATATATCTTCATTGATTTTTCTCTTTAACAGTTGTTAATAGACCAGATATGCTGAATATTTTTTTACGTAGGCTTAGGCCAGAAAGGCCAAAGCCCGGCCTAGCCTGACCCATTTACACCCCTACATGTTCTTTATTATTTGTTTGCATTTAGATAATTTGTTGTTACTTTGTATTGAGTATTTGATTTTTTATTTATGTGGTGCTAAATTATAATTTTTACATTAGTTAATTATAACTAATTATATAATAAGTAAAAAAAAAACATGTGCCAAGGCACTTGCTGGCTTGGATGTGGCTAATAGGGGTGAAACTGGGCCGGGCCGGCCTACAGGCGCCTACGGCTCAGCCTACGTCAGACCAGATATGACCTAGTATATTTCGTAAGATAGGCCGGGCTTGGGCCTTGAAAAAGCTTGTTTAATAAAAAGGCTGTAGGCTCACTTTCACAAAGCCTGGCCTATAAGCCTACAAGCCGACCTATATTGTCTATTTATTTTAAATAAAATAAAATAGAATAAGTATGACTTGAAGAAAAAATAAAAGATATAAATTTAATCAATTATAATTATTTATAACTTAATTATATTCGATTATATTTTAATAGAAATCTGACTTTATTTCTTATGTAGGAGAAACCAACATTTCAACATGTTAGATTGTGTATATGAATATATTAAAAGATTATTGAGAGATGTTATACTTACTTCAAGCATCATGATGTGTTTGTTGGATTCATGTAGTTATTTTAATTTACATAGTATGGATTTATTTGGTGGATCTAATGAAATATAGGTTATTTAATTTGAGCATTTTGCTTTTGAAATTGACTTAAATGTAGATTGTATGAGTTTTGTTGTGATTCGTGATTCTGTTTGACGTTGAAATTATAATTTTTGGTTTAGCAACAGAATTTGAGTATTTTGTAAAGTTGATTCATGGTTTTACTTGGAAGTTAAAAATTAGCAGGCTAACGGGGTGGGCCAGACCATTTGCTTTTTTATAAACAGGTCAAGTCAGACTAACAGTTAGACTCGTACTAAGTTTGAGCCAGGCCAAATTAAAAAATTTTGACGTAGGCTTGGACTTTTCGGAGCAAAGCTTAGCCCAGCCCAACCCACTTTCACCCCTAGTGGCTACTGTATTTAAGAAATTAAAACATTAAAATAAATATGAATAACTCTCGTGACTATTGATTAATCTTTTCAAAATATTTTTTAAATTTGAAAATCCAACCTTAAATATCAAAGATCAACATTACTTTCTTTTCCTATTTATGCTAAATCAGGTGTAATAGACCATTCAATCCATGATCTTATGCGATGCGTGTATGATGGGGTTGCCTAATTTATGTCAAAAAAATAGTATGTATCTCACTTTTTTATTATACGAGTTTTTTTAAATTTAGTTAAGATATGAAAAAAATATAAATTAACAAAATTAAGGGAAAATTACAATTATAAAATTATAATTTTTGAATGGGAAAATATTTAAAATTATAATGAAAATATGTATAATTAATTAAAAAATTAAGAATGATATGTGTCCTTGTTTAAAGAATAATATACTAAAGGATTTGATTATTCTCAAAATAATGAGTTCTAATTTAAGATATTAATAAATTATTATTAACGTTTTCATCACTGTAACAAAATCATTCGGTAGATTGGACGTTGATTGGAGTCAATACAGTAAGAGGGCGTTTGGTACACGATTTTTTTTCGGATTTCCGGAAAACTGAATTTTTTAAAATTTTAAATTTTTGAATATTATCGTAAACTGAATGTAAAAATTATATTTTTGAAAATTGAGATTTTCGGATAAAAAAAAATTTCTCTTCTACCAAACGCTCCCTAATTGTGTTTAAATCATGATTTTTTTTTTTTTTTTTTATAAAATCACGATGTTAAACCCATTACACAGACTCGATTTAAATTATAAACATACTTTGTTTAAACGAAAAAAATAAATAAATAAAAGAAAACAAATATCAGTTACATTTTTGTGTGCCTCGGACCCACAAATGATTTTAAAAATAAAGTATTATTATTGCTCCTTAAATATAAATTGAGTAAAAAAAAAGTATGTTGTTCATTTTTTTAGCTTCAGCTTAGCAAAGTGTATTCTTGTAAAAACTCTCATTAGAAAAATAAAAAAAGAAGTTAAAAATTCTCGTGAAGAATTTTTTTTTAGGATGTATTTTAGTTTTTTTCTGAATCTTCATATTTTCTTTCAATTATGTCCTTATTTTAAACAATAAATTTTATTTTCTATTCTAATAACAAATTATTCAATTTCTTCCCTTTTGAAAGGCTAAGAAAGTCACTAAGAAGCACCACTAGGGATAGCCTAGTGGTGTTGGGTGTGTTTAGGGTGTATTAGATGTGCGGTTCGATTCCCTGTAATGTCCAAAAAAAAAAAAAAGTCACTAAGAAGAATCTTGAATCTATTTTTCTTTTAAAATCTTCACCTTTAAAATATTTATCTTTTATTTTTTATCATATTTATATTTATTTAAATAATAAAAATTTCAAATACATTTTATGATAATTTTAATTAAAATAAAATTTATAAAAAATATTTTATCAAATTTTTTATTTTTAGCTTGAGTTTTTAAGTAACTTAAATATAATTATAAATAAATTTTATTTTTATTTTTAAAATTTTATTTTTAACTTTAACTTAAGAATAATTTTTAACTTAAAAAATTTGCCAAATATGCTTTAAGTGGCTAGAAGTGTACAAACCTCTTATAGGAGGAGTCTTATAACATTCTTCAATTATTGACCGACGAACGTTATCTACATATTTTGAACTCTAATTAAATATGTATATTATACAAAAGACTTGAATACAAGTCGTACTAAAATTGACTTTATTCGAAATTATCAAAGTACAAACAATTAAATCAACGTAGGCTATTAAGTAAACCTTACAAAATATAAATATTGCGCCTAAAATATAATTACGATCTAGTACAAAATTTCAAAACTAAATAAAAATATAGACTTTAATGACTAATACTTCTCCCTTGCACATATACATGTACTTTAGGCTCTATCATTCACATATAAAAAAACACACTTAATAAGATATTTATCCCATGAAAAATAACAATTTAAAAGATTTTCACAGAAGTATAGCATTTCAAAGCATAACTTAGTATGGAAAAATCATTCATGGTTTTAAATGGATAATGTTACCATCATAATATTTTGAAACAGTCTAACATCACAAATACATATATAACATTATCTGCCAAGATATTTTTTATAAGCATGAATTTTTATATTTATTAGAGATTTTTACTTTATAAGGGCGCCCCTTCCTCATCTTGTATAAGAAATTTGTTCTTTGACTCAAGAAACCCAATTTCTTGATCAAGCACATATTTACATTACCTTCTATACTACATATCATAAACTCTTTAGGGAGACAAATATGTGGATACCTTCAAAGAATCTCATAAAAAGAAATAGTAAGTCATAACATACCATTATGAATTTTGACATCGCAATAAAAGTAAGAACAATCACATCACTATAATATTTTTTTTTTAATTTTATAAGAATTTTTACTGTATAAAATTTACGTGATAATTTACATAAAAATTAAAGACATGATATATCAGTAAAATGAACATGTAATAATAAAAATAAAAAAATTAAATAATATATGTACAATATTTTTTACATATATGATACATTGATACTATTCACATGTGTTACTATGCAGGGAAATGACAATTCTAAATTGCAAAATTCTAAATTTTCTTAAATATAAATTAGTATATATATATATGAGAAAAATATTTTTACTTTTATTACAGAAAACTTTTTTTGTTGTATTCACATAAAAGTGAGTCGATCTCGTTACAATAAAAGAAAGAGAAAAATTCCACACCAAAAAAAAAAGAGAGAAAAATTAATGGGATATCATGGGACCAACTCACTTTTATGTGATTGTGGCAAAAAAAAAATTTACGGTAAAAGCAAAAATATTAAATCATATATTTATATATATATACATATATATATTTACGTATATAATCACAAAGTTCATAAAATATAAATTGTAGAAATGTAAATTGCTAAAATATAAACTACAAAAATGTAAATAGTTGTAATATAAATTGCCGAAATATAAAGTGTAAAATTATAAATAACAAAAATGTAAATTGTTAAAATAAATTATAACGCGGTATCCTATCGAATCGGTTAGGAGAAGAAGAGGGAGAGTAAAATAAATAACAAAATAATATTTCCATGGAATTTATATTTTAGAAGAATGAAAGAAGTTATGATCACATTTAGTACTTACTTTTATCTTCCTTATTATAAAGTTTTCTCACTCTAATTTTTTTCTCTCCCTTTTCTTAGTAGAATTTTCTATAAATTTATGAAGAATTTCTGCAAAGCCTTCACTTTTTGATTTCTTTCAATTTTGAAGCAATGACTAATGGTTCATCAAGTCTCTATTTATAAAAAAATATGACCATACCAATAGTAAAAATTAATATGGTAATAATAAAATATTATTTACCTAATAATTATTAAAAAAAATTCTCATGTGAAATCTATTATAAATTATCATAAACAAAATTTCAAGATATTTTATATTAATTTATGATTGATTATATATTTTTGGAGTGTTATTTATAATAATTTATGATTGATTTATATATTTTTAGAGTATAATTTATGATTGATTTATATATTTTTAAAGTGTTGCTTATAATAATTTATGATTGAATTATATATTCTGGAGTATTTTTTATGATTAAATTATTATTATTTAGAGTTTTACAAGTCGTGCTTGGTGGATGATGGTACGATTGGTATCTATTGATAATATTCTTTGAGTGAATTTTAAAAACAATTATTTGGGTCAACCTCTACCTTTCAAAATCATGCTATTAATGCCTTGACTAGTAATTATGGAATAATTTATTCCCATCCTTATTTTGTAAAAAGAAAACTAATAAAATTGCATTATGCTATTTTCTTGTCCTTTTACACTTTTACAATTTTCATTACCTGCTTGTAATTAATATCACCAAAATTTTTGCATATCTCTATTAATTTTGCCACTTTACTGCTGTGATGGTCTGATCTGATGGATACAAAAAGCATTTTTCGGCCCGAAAATAATAACAGTGATCCCCAAAAGTTGCAATTAAAAATTAAAAACTCCAAATTCCAGCTATCACGACGACACCGTTTTATGCGCCTCCAAAATATTTTGTCCATGTGATGATTTTATTTATTTTATTTAAAAGAAACAAGTATATTTTAAAATAGACGTCATCGCAGACGAGGCCGCGTTTGACCAGTGAGGTGACCCCTCCATGAATCAAACAAGCGCTACGTCTCGGTCTCTCCCTCCCAAAAATTTTCTTCCATTTTCTCGAGAAAATCTAGCTCCTAGAAAATCTCGCTCTTTCTTTCCCTAAACTAAACATACACATATATATACATTCACAGCGTGTGGTGATGGATCGGAGAAGAACCGATAGTCCGGTGTACACACGGCAATGGAGCGGCGATTCCAGCAGCATCGGTTCTTTGTCGCCGGCGATGTCACCGGTTCATCCTCAGTCGCGCCTAGGTACCTCTTCTACCATCAAGCAGCGAAACTTTGCCGCCAAAGCAGCGGCGCAGCGTCTCGCTCAGGTCATGGCCTCTCAGACAGTTGACAACGACGACGACGAAGAGGAAGACGATGATCTCGAGTTCGGGTTCAGTGCTCCGCGACCTCCCGCTCTCTCTTCTTACTCCAACAACGCCAATAGCAACAAGAACGGTGTTAGTGTCGTTCCTCCGATTTCGACCTCCCGGCCTAATAGATCTCCGTCTCCTGCGGTATTCCCTCAGCAATTGTTTACTATGCCGCTTTTCTTTTGTCTCTTATTTAGGGTTTAGGATTGAATTATGGAAAATGGTTATTTGTCTGAATTTGTTAGTTGAAATATGCAAGTTTTAAACTGTTTTGGATTGGTTAGGAGTGATGAATGTTCAATTCCTTCAGTTTGATTGATTTTGAACTTAATTCAATTATGAAAATGATTAATTGAGATGGTGAAGTTTGAATTCAATTATGCTGGCGGGAGTAGTATTTTGTGGTTTCATGGTTAATTTGATCCGTAATTAAAGGTTGGGATCTGAATGTTAGCTTCCTAATGCTTTACCAAGATTATGGGTTTCTTCAATTCATGTCACCTAGTTTTCGATAAGCTAATAAGATTTTGATGTTTTTATTAGTTAGGTCGGAACTTTGTAGAGCATAATCTTTCAGTACGTTCAACGTCAGCTGGAAGACCAGCGGTGTCTATTCGCTCAACAGCGGTGGTGTCGCCCAGTAAATCCACAATTCGAGTGCCAGTGGCTATACCTCCAATTGATCCTCCTACCAATAGAAGTAGAGACAAAAGGTAGCATCTTCTTTTAATTTCTTATGGTTTGAAGCTAAAGTAATCGACTGAGTAAGTTTTATGCGTTAAGGGACTTCCAGGTTGACATAATTTAAAAGAACAAGTCTTCTAAAAATCGAGGAACTCTACTTCAGTGATCCGTAATTGTAATGGAAGCAACTCTCTCTAACAAGTGGAGGTCCCAATCTTGTATAGAAATAATATATACGAATTTCATAGGAGTTTGACTTATCATCTCTCAATAATACAAATGTTAACCGAAAAAAGAAAAGAAAAGAAAGTTGCAGTAAGTGGGTAGTTATTTGAAGTTTCTTCCATTCCGTAAACAAAAAATAATTACTAAAGTGGAATGGTGGATTGGCATGCATCTGTGTGCTTGCAAGGCATTAGTCAAATATAATGCATGCAAAATCATCCTTATTTATTCAGGAAAAATAAGGGTGGTTCTGTGTGCGTGGCTACTGCTATTGTGGGGTTTGGACACAAGTCTTCTATCCTTTTTGATGTCTATAATCCTATCTCCCCAACAAAGAACTGACGACTTAGAAAAAGATACACTTATCTCTTAGTTGTAAAAACTTCAGCAATTTTTTAGCTTTGTTGCCTTCTTCTTCTTCTTTTTTTGTTTAACTGGGGTAGAGGATTGGGGACAGGGAAAGGGGACAAAATATTTGAATTCAAAGGATTTAGGGAGGGTCAGATGTGCACAGCTATAACCCCATGAGTAGAAAAGCTGTTTTTGCGACTTGAACCTGTGGCCAGTAGGTCACTAGGTAGCAACCTTATTATTGCACTCAGGCTCACCTATTTATTAAGGAAAACGGTAAGAGGAAAATATTTTCTCTTCATGTCCAATGTTTTCTGATGAATTTCACTTGGAGGACTAGTGCAGAGGCTCTAGTCTTGAGGTTGACCAATATTACCTTTCCAATGTGCATGTAATTTATACCTTTTGATGTATGTATGAGCTCAATCCTATAATATTTATGGAAATCATACATCCATCTATATTTGCATGTATGTGGAATGGATCCTCAAATGTGAAAATTTCACATTACCATGTCCTGTGCATTTTTAACTTGTGCATGTGTGTGTGTGTGTGTGAGTGTGCAGTGATGGGTGAATTACCTTTAGTTTATTATTACCTTTAGTTTATTGGCCATGCGGGTAATTTTGATGACCCATGCTTCTTTGAATTTGAATCATTGGTTGACAATTTCAGGTTTCCATCAGATATCAAACAACTTAACTCAAAAGATACAGGAGATCAGCATGAAGCTTCTGCACTCCGTGATGAAGTATGCATGCATCAGTTTCTGTCTCTAAAAACTAAATCTGATGACTGGTTATTCTTATATTGACCATGCTGATTTTTAAGCTTTAATTACATAGATTTTGTATTATAATCCTTGAGGATTTGTCGTAAAGTTGATTTATGTTGATATTGCAGCTTGATATGCTACAAGAAGAAAATGACATTATATTAGACAAGGTGTGCTCCTTTACACCCTAACAAAGTCAGTTTTATGACCATGTTATTTAATATTGAATTAAACATACTTGCCTGATTATATTTACAGCTAAGACATGCAGAGGAAAGACGTGACGAAGTAGAGGCTAGAGCAAAGGAGCTTGAGAAACAGGTGATTTTTGCTAGATATTGACTATACTTTGAAACCCAACAAAAAGTAGTGTCAGTACCATCATTTTAATATCAGATTTTGAATTACTATGCTTTTATGAGCAACCATGTGTAACTGCTGGAACTAAGAACTACTTAACATTTAAGAATAGAAGTTACTATTTAACCATAGCCGTCTTTCCATATGCTGAGTTTGCTGATATCTTTGTCCTTGTTCACTTTGATTTTGGCAGGTTGCTTCTCTTGGACAAGGTGTATCCATGGAAGCTAGATTGTTGAGCAGGTAAATTGCTTATAATTCCCTTATCTTTGGCTGGAATTTTTTTGGGGCTTAGTTTTAAAGTTACTGTTATTTTTTTAATGGTATATTTGCAGCAAGGAAGCTGCTTTGCGTCAAAGAGAGGTATGCTGGAAGAATGGATAGTAATCATCTTGCAGAAATGTGAAATGAACAATGATTGAAACCTTGATATGCTGTGATCACCTTGCTTGATAACCTACTATACGATCTCTTCTAAGTTTTAATCTTAAAAAAGGTTTCGTGCATTACCGAGAAGCACACATGTGCATATTTGTGTAAAAGAGCACTAATCAGAGGCGGTTATCCAGCTGGTTATAATCATCTTTGATTTTTTTTATATATACCTAAAGCTCTGTATCCAGTTAAAGCTTTTTCCTTGAATTGTGGGTTTTGACCAACGAGCTCATCAATGCTAGTTGCCTAGTTCTTTGGAAGTGTTTTGTTCTTGGACTACTCATTATTTTTTACATAGGCTGCTCTCAAGGCTGCAAAACAAGCACAGGATGAGAGAGGTGGGGATATGACAGCCCTTCGCGTGGAAATTCAGGTAGTTTAGAAGAAAGCATGCTTTTTGTTTTAAATTGTAACATATGCCTGTTTAGTTATGCGTTCTCTGGTCTAGGTTATAACTGTCTTATTTAACTATCAGAACCTAAAAGATGACGCTACAGCAGCTCTAGAACAACAGCAAGCAGCTGAAGCTGAAGCAAAGGCTCTCCGCACAATGACACAGAGAATGATTTTGACCCAAGAAGAGATGGTTTGTGTTTTTCCATTAAAATGAGAATTAACAGGTATCTATTTTCTCTTCTGTCTCAATTCATTTTCATGTCTGTTTTTAGGAAGAAGTTGTTCTGAAAAGATGCTGGCTTGCTCGCTACTGGGGTCTTGCTGTAAAACACGGTACAAAATAGCTATTGCTTTCTTCTGTCTACAGAAAAAAAACTTGGCGAAGCTTATTTTTCAAAATCTTTCTCTCCTATTAACATATGTGTGCTTGTAATTCTTCTTCCATGCTTTATAGGCATATGTGCAGATATAGCTGCATCCAAGCATGAACATTGGTCTTCTCTAGCTCCTCTTCCTTTTGAAGTTGTAACTTCTGCTGGACAAAAGGCTAAGGAAGAATCTTGGAACAAAAGTGAGTATGTTGATGCTCCAATTATTAGTTGGGTTTTTTTGTCACTTAAATTAGCTACAATGAAGTCTAAAAAGGACATGGATCAGATGCTGATGATCCAGATATGAGCAAACCTGTTCGTGATTTGAGTGATCTCACTGGGGAAGGAAACATTGAGAGCATGCTTTCTGTTGAGATGGGTTTGAGGGAGCTTGCTTCACTAAAGGTTCTCCATCAATGTTATTAAAGTTAATGCTTTTTTGGTTCAGCTCTTTAATTCCATGTTCTCCTTTTGGATGTTTAAGATACAATGAACAATATTTTAAGTCTTATTACTTTTTTAAAACATGGACATCCAGAAACCAAACTTTTTTATGTCGTGTTTGGTTGAAAGTTGACTTCCTTTATATATTTTGGTTTTTGGGTGATCATTCATCCTTTTCTTTTGTTCTTGACTTCTGAATAAATATTTTCACAAAATTTGGTTTTGTAGGTTGAAGATGCTGTTGTGCTTGCATTAGCCCAACACAGACGCCCAAATTTGGTTCGGCAGTCCGTTTTTGGTATCTTAATTCATTGTCTCATGTCATCTCTAAATCTCAATTTTTCTACTTTTGTTTTTAATCAATTTGGGTACACACTTCTTTCATTTGTGACTCTATAGTCAACCTGCAGTTAGTGATATAATGTACTGTATTAACTGAGCTTGGTAAAGACTAAAGAGAGTTCTGTTTAAGTTAGTTTTGATTCATATGTACATTTTTGAAATTTTTTCTCAAAACTCTTATCGAACAAGTTATCTGTTTGGTAGAAGATTATTTTATTAATATTGTTCACCTTTCTATTCATTTCTTTTCAGATTCCAGATCACCTGGTGATTCCATATTCGAGGAAGCATTGGGTAAGAAATAAGTTGTCAGCTTTTGTTTTTGCGTTTAATTTGACGGGTGTTAGTTAAGCTTGTAAGGATTCAAAGCTTTAGAATGTTATAATAGTATGTCTTGTACATCTGTATTATAGAATTTCTCTACTGTCTTTTATTATTTATATGTCCCTTATATATTTTTTCAATCATTTCTCTAATTCTTATATTTTGATCCTTCTATGGACTATGGAGGGAAAGATGAGACTGACCTCAGACAATATACATGAATTTTTTGCATTGTCTTATAAATCTGTATAGGACTATTGTGGTACTTTTATATTGTAAATTGCACAATATATTGTCATTTTCACTATCATTGAGAAATATGATATCATCCTGGCCAACTACAAAAGAAAAGAAAAAATATTTTGGCTGTATTTCAACTGGGTCTAACACATACACCAAGACATGTGAAAAACTTAATTGGCAACATTATAAGGCCATGTGACCATCATGATCTTTGAATGGAATTCATAAAGTGTAAACCCTATCAATTATGGACCTTCATATATGGGATAGGCTTTATGTATGAGGCTAATGGCTTCATGTTTATTTTTGCTAATATATTATATTGATGTGGCTGCATTCAGACATTCTTTGTTAAAATATGAAAATGTGCCTGACAGATGACCTGATGATTCATTGTTGATTTTCTGTTCTTTGTTTCCCCCAGAGTTAAGTGATGAGGAAGCAGAAGATGTTCTTTTCAAAGAGGTTAGTTGCTTGTTCAATGAAGATTCTGACATTTGACATGCTGTTCTTGACCTAAGTTCTGTGAAATTGTAGCACCTTTCCTTGTATGATGTCATAATAATAGCATATTCATTTCTACTAGCATTTGTCTCATGTTTAAAAGATAAAAAGAAGGAGCAAGTTGTCTAAACTGGAAACCCCTACAAAGTTGCACCTGATTGACTTGACAAAATCAGCAATCTGCTATCTTGATAGAGCTTCGTTTTCTATGTTTAATTTCTTTCTGTTCAAGATAGATTTATTAGTTACTAACTTACTGTGTTTTTATTCACTAATCTCAATCTTTGAGATGAAATCTTAGAGTGAAGGCTACTAAAAGTAACCAGGGCTTTTGGATGACCTATTTTGTTAAGAGCTGAATTTAAAGTGTACTTTATTTTGAATTATACAAGATATTAATTTATGAACATTTTCAGGCTTGGCTAACTTATTTCTGGAGAAGAGCTTTGTTCCATGGTGTGGAAGAAGATGTTGCAGAAGAGCGTCTTCAGTTTTGGATTAGCCGTAGTGGGCAGTCTCCAACGTCACATGATGCCGTTGAAGGTAAGCTCTTGTCACTGTTGTCATCATCTTTTGTGGTGTGAAGAAAGTAAATTTTATTAATTTGAAATTAGAAAGTATGTAGGGATTTATTCTTCTCTGTTACCAAATTGGCTCATTACCTGGTTTTGGAATTGCGTGCTGATTGGCAAAATGTTTTCAAAGGAAGCTTCCTCAGAGGATCATAACGCCATGCTGGGAAATTACTCATTTTCTTTAGTTAAACACATTCATACTTTTCCTGCAATATATCTTGGGTTTCTTGCAAGTTTCGGAAATGAGTAATGCTTCTCACACATCACAATCATAAGCATAAAAGATCAACTGCTTTGTTGGATGGGGGAGTATTTCTCAAACCCCTATCCTGCAGAGGCAGTTGTACACTGTAGTTATCCTATTTGAACACCTGAGTAGCATTACTCTGAATGAGGCCAGGACTACCAGGTTTCTCCTACATATTTTTCTGTATTACCGTTTTTTCTTATCTGAATCTGGAACACTATTAGTCAGCTGCACTTAGAAAAAGGATAACTCATGGCATATAATGTTGGAGTGTAGCCCTAGCCTGTAATATTAGATAGACACATAAGAGAGAAGGTGACGTTATTGCTTCATATGTAGGGGTGTTCAAAATGTCCAAAAGAACCAAATCAATCCATAACCAAACTGTTCCACATTTAAAAAACTGCCTTTTTTTTAAACCGGTTTCATACAAAACTGCATTTTATTTTATAAATCGGTTATTTACCAAACCATAAAAATAATTGGTTATCCATAACCAAACTGCTCTACTTTCTCCCAACTTCAATTTTTGTTGTGGGTTTTTTTTTTTTTTTTTTTTGGTATTAGTAGCACTTGCCTAATGCTAAATTTTATGATGTATTATTAACACACTCAATTTTAGGATAGATTTTCCTTTTCTTTTTCCAAACCTCATGCCAATTTTCTTTCGGATAGATTTTGATCCATAAATATGATGCTTACAGTAAAAAGGAATTTGAACTATGGCTTTTGTGCCAATTAAGCAAGATTTAAAGAAGCTTGAACCCATGTTCTAACAGAACCTCCTTCGGGGTGTGCTATCTCATCATTAAATGATACTGTTGGGTGCAGTTTTGTTGGGTTTTTTTTTTGTGCTGTTTGTTTTTAATTCCCCAAATTTTCAAAAAAAAAAACCTCTCTTTTCTCAACCAGATCAAGATCCAAATAGATCTTCAATGCCTCAAACCGAGAGAAACAACTACTTATAAAAATAGCACAATTGATCAAAAAATGAGTTTGAATATGTTATAAAACCGGTTTTTAACTTAATAACCGGTTTATGATTCATAACCAGTTTTAAATCAAAACTGGTTATAAACCATAAATCGGTTTGGAAAATTAAAAACCGGTTTTTTAAAAAAAATCGGTTCGGTTTGAAAACCAAATCTTTTAAAACCGGTTCGGTTCGGTTTTTGTCAAAACCGATTATGAAGCGCTCCATGCACACCCCTATTCATATGTATTTGAATATCAACTTCAAGCTGATGCATTCTGCTTCATTATAGTTGAGCGATGTTTGTTGGAGATGAGGAAGCTGGGTATAGAACAACAACTTTGGGAAGCATCTCGGAAAGAAATTGATGAGCCTCCAGCGTTAGCAGTTGCTAATCATAAGTTTCCCCCCGAATCAGAAGCATTGTCGTGATTGGTGATTGTGGACGTGCTTAATTTGTTGGTTGATTCTTTCTCATATATGTATATTATTTATTTTTTGCACATGCGTTTTTTCATTCTGCACGCTATGTTTTCTTGGGTTTATACTTTATACAGAGGAAGCAAGAATCTTTGCATTGCAAGAGACATGGTGGATTGTAATTACCCTCACGAGACACAGTCTTTGAATTGAATTTTGCAGTTCCATAATCCCATCCTGCTCGTTTGCTATCAAATGAAAATGCTAAAGGACAACAGTCATGATCTTATTTTGGGGTATAATAACTAACAAGTATTTCGACTACTGTGCGTGTATTTTTAAATTTAAGTGAAATATAAAAATTATAATTTTTTTTTTCGGTAAACAAATTAATAAAAAAATATGTAACAAAATGTTTAAAACTATAAAAGAAATATTATGATTAATTTAAATAGAATTTTAAAAATATTTTTAAAAAATGTAAAATTGTAAAGAAGATAAGTATAATTAATGAAAAATTAAAATTTTTAAAAATTAAGAATGATATGTGTAATTTTTGAAAAACAATATTAATAAATGTGTATTATGATTTATTGTCAACAGCAAAAAAATTGAACTATTTCCCAACAACAAAAAATAAAAAACACTAAGAACTTGAAATGCTTTATTCTTCTGAATATTGAATAATACACGTTAAATCATGATTAAGTAATGATGAGGCACAAACCACAGGGCGGTGTACGAGATAACATGAGGATTCTGGTTTCTGCCCCTAATCCTTTCTCCATAACTGGAGGTAACAATTATTATCAAACATCTTCTTGCAAACCCGCAACTCGGTAATCAAATCAACGCTATTATATTGGCAGCTTCATACTTCAATTCCACAACAATAACAGCAATAATTTGGGTACGTTTCTCCTTAAATCGAAGTAACAGCAATAGTTTATTACATAACCCATTCAACCCAAATGCCTTTGACGGAAGATTTACAAGGAGCGTGACTTCGTTTCAGAAAACCTGAATATTTGTTCAGATGTTACAATGGTGCTCAAATCACGCGGGGATTAGTTTATGTTAATCCCTTTCTCTAAGCTTATTTCAGCTTTTGGTTGACACCAACCCAGATCATAAAAAGAATGAAAGCCTGTGTAATTAAATAGTAAAAGTGAGTCAGCTTTTTCTCCACACTCTATTTTATAGCTATCGTTAAAAGGGCTCATCAAGTTATAAAACAAAAGAGTGAAAAATGCAAAAGGCATGTCTTTGCTCTACTTTGCAACTATCCAAAAGCATGGTATAGGCTTCACTCTCACGGACACATTTTCCAACTTCAAAGCTCCAAAGTCTTCCTAACCACTTCTACGTTTTTATAATATATATTCAGTCATGATGTTGTGACATGAACTACCCCCAAGCATTTTTGAATCAGTTGAGAGTAGAGTTTGTGATTTGAGAGTCGATAGAATATTTTGACAACACATATGAATGCCAAAAACTCCACTGACACTAATGCAGCTAATGATGAAAAATCTGAAGCCTTTTGTAAAAGCTATGAGGTGGGTACCATTTTCTTCTCCTTTACCAGTTGTTTGAGCAGCATATAACAGAACCCCACCATATTTATGGATCACATTTGTCTTTTAATAGTTTGTTTGTTCTACTATTTATACTCATCTTCTTAATTTTTTTTTTCTTCCTTGCTTAAGGAAAGTTCTCTGTACATACATGCACGAGAAAAGACTTTATTCTTTTAAATTACATAACTTATATCATTTCATTCTCACAAAGAGGTAAGACCCACATCTTTATTTTTTTTGTCAACTTTCTGTCCTCCTTTATCTATCTCTTTCTCTATCTTGAAATGACACAACTTTGTATCTTTTAAAATGACACACATTTTTCCCTACATATATATAAGGAAAAGCGTAAACACCCTTTTGGGTCCCTATCAAAATACACGGTCACTACTTTAGTCCCTTACAAAACAAAATTAGTCAGTTGGTCCCTAACAAATTCAAAGTGGACCCATTTTAGTCCTTTTGATGGACTAATATAGGTCTTTTTTGAAATTGTGAGGGACCACGATTTCAACTAAATGGGTCCACTTTGAATTTGTTAGGGACCAACTGGCTAATTTTTTTTTTTAAGGGACTAAAGTGGGGACCGTGTTTTTTGTTAGGGACCAAAAATGGTATTTACTCTAAGGAAAAACTATTTTCTTGTCAGATGAAATTAGTTTTCCCTTCTATATATCATTGGATAACTGTGGAGTTTTTTTCTTTTTATTTTTCTTTATTTTTTCAGGTGGTGGGATTTACATATTTGTCTTTATGACATGAGATAACTTATCTCCTTTAACATGAGATTGATTAATAACACCCATGTATATATATATATAAGCTACAAAGCACCGACACGTCATTTTTAAAAAAATTGTGAGTGCTTTGTTGGGACTCACGGCAAGTGCACCGATCATACAAGCACTGACAGACCTAAGTGGGCACTTATGTCCGCAAGTGCGGACATAAGATTTTGGATTTTAGTTTTTGTTGTTGTTGTTGTTGTAGCTATGTAGATCCTTATTTGTCTCTTGGTTCAATATTTATATTAAGAGTAAATATCATTTTAAGTTCCTAACAAAAAATATAGTTCCCACTTTAGTCCCTTATCAAAAATTAGTCTCGAGGAGGTCCCTTATCGTGGTCTTTCACAAATTCAAAAAAGACCTGCATTAGTCTCTCAAAAAGACTAAAATGAGTCCACTTTAAATTTCATAGGGACCAAGTAACTATTTTTTTTATAATGGACTAAAGTGGGGACCGAATTTTTTGTTAGGGACCAAAAAAGATATCTATTTTTATATTAGTTAGCAACGTAGCAACGTAGTAACTAGATTAAAACAACGTAGTAAGGCAAATTGAGTAGAGAGAAAACTTATTCTTCCACCTGTGTCACGTACCCATTCCCATGATTTCTTCATCCTTTGTTATAGAAGTAACTAGATTATGAGCGGTTCAAGCGCTAATTTAAACTTTCTTTACAAAAAAATATTTCGGGGCGCTGTCCCCGAACTCCCGCCACTAAATGTGCGAACATAAAGCAATTTTCCTGGGTCCGCCACTGCGTACAAGTAATATAATGATTGAATAAGAGATCGTTCCCACGAGGATTATACTCAAGCACTAATTCACTATTGCAACTTAAGTTGGACAATCGAAATTGTATTTGAAACAGGATTTGAATTTGAAATTTAAATATTAAAACTAATTAATCGCAATAATTTAAAAATGAGAAAGTAAAGATTTGAATTAACTAATGTAAAGAAAAACGTAGCTAGGCTTTTGATTTCCTTCAATCTCTTTATTACGTTTGAATTCCTTCTTTACATTAATCGTCTTTAAAATCAATCTAATCGATTATTTCTTATGTAATTAGGGCTCAATCCCTTATTACCTTAAACCTTTACAATCTCGCAAGAACCCTAGTTCCTCGGTTATTCCCCAAGAAAGTAAGCATTAAGTTCAAGATTCATAACGATTACGCAAATCCTATGTCTATCCCTAGAATCATAAAGTTTACGATGAAATTATCAGATATGGATCATACACCAACATTCCTATTGTCATGCATTCACCTAAAATCAATATATAAGATTCAAGCTTATATAAAGCATTAAAAACAGATAACTTCATTCATGATAAAAAGGAAAATTAACATAGCGAATTATTCAAAGCATAATAAAAATCTTGAATTCCATCGAACCCTAACTATTTAAAGATTTTGTCGGACATAGCAATATCAAGAACAAAAGAAAATAGAAAAGCTCCCCCAAACTCCATAGATGATTGGTGAATCTTCAATATCTCCAGTGCAGACTTGATGTTGATCCGTCTCCGCCGCTCACGAACGTGAATCGGGTGTTTCTCTGCCTTCCCTCTGCCTCCAAGTACCAAGTACTCTCTTAGAATGTGTAAAAAAATTTAATTCTGACCCTAATTGCCTTTTTAATGGCCAAGAATTTGTGCCCTAGATGGTTAATTAAGATGGGCTTAAGTTGGGTTTCTGGGGCGCTTAATGTAACAGCCCCAAACCCTGTAGCATGATATTGTCCGCTTTGCCCTTGGGCTCACGGTTTTGTTTCTTGGGACACCCCACAAAAGGCCTCACACTAGAAGAGGTATCCACACCCTTATAAGGCATGCTTCGTTCCCTCTCCAACCGATGTGGGACATTACATCCTCCCCCACTGGGAATACAGTGTCCCCGTTGTACACACCGGTCCAGGGCCAGGCTCTGATACCAAATGTAACAGCCCCAAACCCTGTAGCATGATATTGTCCGCTTTGCCCCGCGCACAAGCACCGTCGAGCTCACAGTTTTGTTTCTTGGGACACCCCACAAAAGGCCTCACACTAGAAGAGGTATCCACACCATTATAAGGCATGCTTCGTTCCCCTCTCCAACCGATGTGGGACATTACATCCTCCCCCACTGGGAATACAGCGTCCCCGCTGTACACACCGGTTCAGGGCCAGGCTCTGATACCAAATGTAACAGCCCCAAACCCTGTAGCATGATATTGTCCGCTTTGCCCTCGGGCTCACGGTTTTGTTTCTTGGGACACCCCACAAAAGGCCTCACACTAGAAGAGGTATCCACACCTTTATAAGGCATGCTTCGTTCCCCTCTCCAACCGATGTGGGACATTACATCATACAATATACTCCACCCCACAGTTCCATATCAGTGTAATAGCAATAACAATAATAATGCAGTAAATACATATCTATGCAAAGTGCAATAACATCTCCAGGAGAAATCCCTCGAGCTCTCAAGTTGTCCTAAGGAAACTCAGATGCAAATAGTCCTACTGGCCAGCTAAACTACCAAGTATGATTTACGCATCGTCATGCAACATACCACATAGGGAACACCATCCTATGCCACACCAAATGCATACACATACGTATAACAAAGCATTACACTATTTCATTGCATTTATATACACTATAATTACCACTACCCTTTCAGGGCTTGGTGGAACAATCAAGGGAATTACACCCAAGGTCCGAAGGCTTACCTCAAAGCTTTCGTTCAACCTTTGTTCACCACCAACGGTTCAGCAACCAATCAACTTTGGTTTCAACAATGACTTACAAGTAACACACCTACACCAAGGTGCCATAGCATCAAT